AATTTTTAACAGATGCACCATAGAACCATCCTATCTGGATGGATCACAGCTCGGTATGGCAACTGCTCTTCCCAAGAATGCAAGAGTTACAGAGAGTTGCGAACACAGCCCAGGCTATCACGTAAACCAGCCTTCCTTCCATTGACTCCATCTACACTTGCTGCTGCCTCGGAAAACCCCCAACACAACCAAAGATCCGTCTCACCCCGGTTATACTCTCTTCCACCCTCGGGCAGAAAATACATGAACCAACGGATTCAAGAACAGCTTCTTCCCCGCTGTTATCAGACTTATGAATAGACCTCTCATATATTAAAGTTGATCCTTCTCTACACCTTCTCTGTAGCTGTAACACTATATTTTGCATTCTGTTCTATTACCCTGATGTACTTATGTAAAGTGTGATTTGTCTGGATAGCATGCAAACCAATACTTTCCACTGTATCTTGGTACACGTGACAATAATAAATCAAATCAAAGGGTATTCTCAATGTGAAGGTGGGAATTTGTCTCCACAATGGCTGTGCGGTGGTCACTATTACTGATATTGTCATGGATGGATTGCACCTACAGCCGGCAGATTGGTAAGAATGAAGAACAAAGCACAGCACAGGAACAGGCCCTTCGGCCCTCCAAGCCTGTGCTGACATGTTTTGCCCTTCCATACTAAAACTGTCTTCACTTACAGGATCCATATCCCTCTATTCCCTTCCTATTCATGTATTTGTCCAGGTGCTTCTTGAATGCTGCTATTGTATCTGCTTCCACCACCTCCTCTGGCAGCACGTTCCAGGCACTCACCACCCTTTGTGTGGAAAACCTGCCTCGCACATCTCTTTTAAACATCCCCCCTGCACCTTGAACCTGTTTCCCCCAGTAATTGACCCTTCCACCCTGGGAAAAAGCCTTACACTTTCCACTCTATCCATGTCATTCACAATCTTATAAACTGCTATTAGGTCGCTCCTCAATCTCCTGCGTTCCAGTAAAAACAAACTCAGTCTATCTAACCTTTCTTCATAGCTAAAATCCCCCATACCAGGCAGCATCCTGGTAAACCTTTTCTGTACCCTCTCCAAAGCATCCACTTCCTTTTGGTAGTGTGGTGACAAGAACTGTACGCAATATTCCACGTGTGGCCTGACTAAAGTTCTTTAGAGCTGCAGCATAACTTGTCTGACCTGATACTCAATGGCCCTTCCAATGCAGGCAAGCATGCTATAGGCCTTTTTTTACTACCTTATCTACCTGTGCTACCATCTTCAGTGATCTGTGGACATGCACACCCAGATCCCAGTCAGGATGAGGACTTAAGGCAACTCCCTCCTGATTATATACCACTTTGTTGGCATCTCTGCTGGATCTGTCCTGCCAATGGAACAGGACATATCCAGGGCCCAGAATAAAGGATCACAGTCACGGGAAATGTGTTAGGGCATTTCAGACTGAGATGAAGAGGATTCTGTTCACTCAGAGGGCAGTGAATCTATGGAATTCTCTGCCACAGAAGGCTGTGGAGGTGAAATCTTTGAATATTAAGAAAGCAATAGCTTATTTTCTTGAATCTAAAGTCATCAAGGGATATGGGGAGTTCATGGCTTTATGGAATTTAAATAGAGACAAAAACAGAACGAGCTCAAGAAACTCAGCAGGTCTGGCAGCATCTGTAAAGAGAAAGCAGAGTTAATGTTTTGAGTCCAGTGATGCTTCTTCAGAATGAGATTATCAGTCATGCTCATGTTAAATAATAGAGTGGGCTTGATGGGCTAAATAACCCTGTCCTTCCTCTATTTTATGTGTGTCTATGTCTGTATGTTCATAGTTAGGCCTGAGACGAGGAGAGCTTTCTTCACTCAAAGATTCATGAATCTTTGGAAATCTTATTCACAAAGGATTGTTGGTGTACACTGTTGACTATATTTAAAGCTGGGAGAGACACATTTTTGATCTCACAGGGAAACAAAGGATATGGGGTGGGAGCAGACCTGGGGGAATAGGCACTAAGATCAGGAATGGTTGTATTGAATGATAGATAGGATTTATGGATCATGTTGTCTACTTCTGCTTCTATTGTTGGTGCTTTCAAATATTTTCTTTTCAGATTTCCATCATTCACATTGCTGCTTGATTAGAAACATAGAAAATAGGAACAGGAGTAGGCCATTCGGCGTTTTGAGCCTGTTCTGCCATTCATTATGATCATGGTTGATCATCCAAGTCAGTTCCCTGTTCCCATTTTCCCCCTATACCCTTTGATCCCTTCAGCTTTAAGAACTTGTTGCTTGTTGGTCTAGTGGTATGATTCGTGCTTCGGGTCTGTGTGGAAAAGTGAGAGAGGTCCCAGGTTCAAATCCTGGACAAGCCCCTATTATCTCCAACTCTGTCCTTGGGTGGCCTGGTGGCTCAGTGGTTAACACTGCTGCCTCCCAGCATCAGGGACCTGGGTTCAATTCCACCCTCGGGCAGCTGCCTGTGAGAAGTTTTCATGTTCTCCTTGTGCCTCTGTGGGTTTGCTCTGGTTTCCTCCCACAGTCCAAAGGCATGTAGGCTAGGATTGACCATGCTAAATTGCCTGTAGTGTTCAGGGGTGTGTAGCTTAGTGGGGTTATGGGGTTATGGGTCTGGGTGGGATGCTCCAAGGGTTGGTGTGGACTTGTTGGGCCTCCACACTGTAAGGATTCTATGTTCTAATTGTAATTGACAAAGGTAGGTGAGGACCTGGAAACAATCATTATTACAGAAGAGGTAGTGTTGGGCAAGCTAATGGAGCTAAGGATTGATAAGTCTCCTGGCCCTGATGGAATGCATCCCAGGGTACTAAAAGAGATGGCGGGAGAAATAGCAGGTGCACTGGCGGTAATTTTCCAAAATTTGCTGGACTCTGGGGCAGTCCCAGCAGATTGGAAAACAGCAAATGTGATACCACTGTTTAAAAAGGGAAGTAGACAAATGATGGGGAATTATAGACCAGTTAGCTTAACCTCTGTAGTGGGGAAGATGCTTGAGTCTATTATCAAGGAAGAAATAGCAAGGCATCTTGATAGAAATTGTCCCGTTGGGCAGACGCAGCATGGGTTCATGAAGGGCAGGTCATGCTTGACAAATCTTTTGGAATTCTATGAGGACATTACAAGCGAGGTGGACAATGGGGACTCAGTGATGTGGTGTACCTAGACTTCCAAAAGGCCTTTGACAAGGTACCGCACAAGAGGCTACTGCATAAGATAAGGATGCATGGCATTACGGGTAAAGTATTAGCATGGATAGAGGATTGGTTGACTAACAGGAAGCAAAGAGTGGGGATAAATGAGTGCTATTCTAGCTGGCAGTCAGTGACTAGTGGTGTGCCTCAGGGATCCGTGTTGGGACTGCAATTATTTACAATTTATATAGATGATTTGGAGTTGGGGACCACGTGTAGGGTGTCAAAGTTTGCAGATGACACTAAGATGAGTGGCAGAGCAAAGTGTGCAGAGGACTGTGAAACCTTGCAGAGGAACATAGATACATTTAGTGAGTGGGCAAAGGTCTGGCAGATGGAATACAATGTAAATAAATGTGAAGTCATACATTTTGGTAGGAGTAATAGTAAAAAGGATTATTACTTGAATGGTAAAAAGTTGCAGCATGCTGCTATGCAGAGGGACCTGGGTGTCCTTGTGCATGAATCACAGAAGGTAGGTCTGCAAGTACAACAAGTAATTAGGAAGGCAAATGGAATTTTGTCCTTCATTGCTAAAGGGATTGAAATTAAAAGCAGAGAGGTTATGTTGCAGCTGTACAAGGTGCTGGTGAGGCCACACCTGGAGTACTGTGTGCAGTTTTGGTCTCCTTACTTGAGAAAGGATGTATTGGCACTGGAGGGGGTGCAAAGGAGGTTCACTAGGTTGATTCCGGAGTTGAGGGGGTTGGCTTATGAGGAGAGACTGAGTAGCTTGGAATTATATTCATTGGAATTCAGAAGATTGAGGGGGGATCTTATAGAAACATATAAAATTATGAAGGGAATAGATAAGATAGAAGTAGAGAGGATGTTTCCACTGGCAGGTGAAGCTAGGACAAGAGGGCATAGCCTCAAGATTAGAGGGAGCAGATTTAGGACTGAATTGAGAAGGAATTTCTTCACCCAGAGGGTTGTTAATCTATGGAATTCCTTGCCCAGTGAAGTAGTTGACGCTACTTCAGTAAACGTTTTTAAAGAAAAGGTAGATATTTTTTTGAACAATAAAGGAATTAAGGGATACGGTGAGAATGTGAGTAAGTGGATCTGAGTTCACGAAAGGATCAGCCATGATCTTATTGAATGGCGGAGCAGGCTCGAGGGGCCGGACGGCCTACTCCTGCTCCTAGTTCTTTTGTTCTTATGTTCTAACTATATCTAACTCCATCTTGAAAACTCTTCTTCAATGTTTTGGCCTTAGGCAATTTCTGTGGCAATGAATTCCACAGGCTTATCACTGTCTGGGTGAAGAAATTTCTCTTCATCTCAGTCCTAAATGGCATATCCTGTATCCTTAGATTATGACCCCTGGTTCTGGACTTCCCAGGTGGTCAGGAACATCCTTCCTGTGTTTACCCTATCTCGTCCTGTTGGAACACTATAGTTTCTACGAGATTTGATATCCCCCAACTCATTCTTCTATACTCCGGTAAATATAGCCCTAATTGATCCAATCTCCATCCACATGTCAGTCCTGCCATCCCAGGAATCAACAACCAGTTGTTGAGCAGATAAAAGCATAAAACCAAAAGAATGTTGTGAAATGAAAAATTTTGGTGATTCCATTGTGACAGAATTAATGCCCTCACTTGTAACACTGGAATTAAGGATTCAAACCCCATGAGAATGAGATATAACCAAAAGTTTTTTCATTTATTGATGAAGATGAGAGATTACAATCCTTTCAGTAAAGTGGTGGCTGTGTGATGAAGCTTGGAGGAAAAGTCAGTGAAAACAGTTGATGAAACTTCACTACTTGATTTCAAAAGTTCAAACTTACCAAAATGATTAAACACGCTGGGCCAATGAAACTCCATATAAAGTTGTTTTCTGTGCTGAGCCAGCAACTGTGGGAGAAAGAATGCAAGAATAATTGTAAAAATGTAACTGCAATTCTTCTCCACAAAACCCAACAAGTTTTCTCCCCTCCTCTCTTATTGATGGTGGAGACCATTCAGCCACTCAATGTCTCCTTTCTGCACTGCCCTAATCACATAACAATTGATATACCACATATTTTCCTTTTTTTACAACTATGATCTGAAATGGAAGTTGGGCTCAGATGTAGCTAAAAGGTTTTGCCACTTGAAAATCAAATGCTCTAAATTTTATGAATTGTGCTGGACAACGTTGTTTTCCGAAGCAGTGAGAATTCAAGACTGAGAGGCTTTTGAGTTAAGGAAATTCTGCCTATCAACAGCCCACAGATTGGTTGAGTTCAGACCATTAAAAGCTATTAAGTATCAGAAAGAGAAAAATCCAGGGCCTGCAAACTGAAAGCAACCTTCTCTTTCATTCTTTCTCTCTCCCTGTGGGAAGAAGGCCAAAAATTCCTAGCAAGCTTAAAAAGAAATTCTAACAATTCATCTGATCAACATTCGAATCCAAGAATAACCATCACCTTTTCGACAACAACGTCGTCAGAGCAAAAACTCAAAAAGGACTGCATGAGACAATTTAGCCCACACTTGAAATCTTGACTTGCCATCTTCGTAAATCTGCTTACTTGCCAATATCCTTTTTCTAGTCATAGCAGATACACAGGAACATCACGACATGCAAGCTTCCCCTCTAAGCCACTCACCATCCTGACTTGGAAATATGTCATCGATCCTTCACTGTCGCTATGTCAAAATCCTGGAATTCCCTCCCTAACAGGATTGAGGCTCTACTTACTTCAAATGGACTGCAGTGGTTCAAGAAGACAGTTCCAGACTAGAACATTGAACATCGAACATAGGACATAGAACAGTACAGCACAGTACAGGCCCTTCGGCCCACGATATTGTGCCGACCTACTATCCTCCTAAGATCAATCTACCCTGCATACCCTATATTTTACTATCCTCCATGTGCCTATCCATGAGTTGCTTAAAAGTCTCTAAAGTATCTGACTCCACTACCACCGCCAGCAGCGCATTCCACACACCCACCACTCTCTGTGTGAAGAACCTACCTCTGACATCTCCCCTATACCTTCCTCCAATCACCTTAAAATTAAGTCCCCTCGTAATAGTCATTTCCATGCTGGGAAAAAGTCTCTGACTATCCACTCTATCTATGCCTCTCATCATCTTATACACGCGCAGGCACTAGGATCCTGTAAGGTCCCAATACTGGTCAATTCTTCTGTCTGTGTTGAATGCGAGAATATAATGTGTGGGGCACAGTAGAGCTGTGTTGCATAGACAGTGCATAGGCCAAACTTCTATTTGGTCACTCCTCAACCTCTTGCATTCCAGTGAAAACAAACTCAGTCCAGCAGCCTTTCTTCATAGCTAAAATCCCCCATACAAGGCAACATCCTGGTAAACTTTTTCTGTACCCTCTCCAAAGCATCCACATCCTTCTGGTAGTGTGGTGATGAGAACTATCAATAAAGAAGAGTCAAACTTATAATGCATAAAAACTTATAATGCATAAAATCCCAACGAGGTGACCACGATGATAAATTTGACTGACTGTCTGCTATTCAGGACAAAAGCATTTCACTCCAGGTTTCAACATTAGCATACAGAATGCTATTTATTAGACTATAATTACCTTTGACAAATGGAAGAGAAAAGAAAGGATTTCTAATCTGCTACTAAACAACTTAAAGTTTTAGCAAAGATCTGTAGCTCGGGTTGGGGGTAAGTTTGTTGACTTGCTCACCGAGCTGGCTTGTTTTCATTCAGACGTTTCGTCACCATGTGAGGTAATGTCATCACTGAGGCCTTTGATGAAGCAATGTTGTTCTACTCCGTTTGTAATTTATACCGTCTGGTATAAATTCGAAGAGAAGTACAACAACGTGACTTCATCGGAGGCCTCACTGATGATGTCACCTAGCATGGTGACGAAACGTCAGAACGATGACAAATTAGTCCTGAGGATGGGTTGCTGAACCTGAAATGTTAACTCTGATTTCTCTTTGTAACTGCTGCTCGACCTGCTGAGTATTTCCCTCCAGAAATTTCTGTTCTTGTTGTTGATATCAAATGACTGTCTGCCATAGTTGGATTTGAACCCATGTCCCCAGAACGTTAACCTGGAGGCTGGATTACTAATCCGGTGACATTACCGCTACACTGACTTCAGAAGTCCCAACATTACTCTTGAGTGCTGTACCTAAGATGGTGTTCCAGTACATTACTGAGGGAGGGCTGCACTGTTGGATGTTCACCCTTTTTAGGTGAGGTGTTAACATCTTGTCTTGCCTCCCTACCCCTGAACCAGATGCTCAAGACCTCTCAGCACTACATTGAAGAAGAAACAAAGAGTTATCTTGGTTAACACTGGTTAACAGTGTCTTGGTTAACCCTGATCCATCTAATAACGTTGCCAATCAGATTATCTGATCATATGGTTGGGCTTGTGGAATGTTGCTGTGTGAAAATTGGTTGTGGCACTAGCTCTGCTGTAATGTTGTCTCGACATGTCATTGGCTGTCATTGTTTTTCATTATTCACTAACAGGATGAGGACATCGCTGGCTAGGTAGCATTTATTGCCCATCCCTAATTGACCAGAGGGCAGTTCAGAGTCAACCATATTGCAGTAGGTCTGCAGTCACATGTAGACCAGACTAGGTAAGGATAGAAGTTTCTTTCCCTAAAGGGCATTAGTGAACCAGATGGGTTTTCCCGACAATTGACAATTGACAATTGATTTGCGGTTATCATTAGATTCTTAATTCCAGATATTTTATTGAATTTACATTCCACCATCTGCCATGCTGGGATTCGAAACCAGGTCCCCAGAACGTTATCTGGGTCTCTGGATTAACAGTCCAGTGATAATAGCACTAAGTCATCGCCTCCCCGCTGTGCACAGTACATGACACTATAAAGTGCTTTTCGGTATCTGGTGTTCATGAAACTATTATATAATTACAGGTGGCTAGCACTGCTGCTTCACAGCTTTAGGGTCCTGGGTTCAATTCCACCCTCCAGTGACCATCTGTGTGGAGTTTGCACATTCTCCCTGTGTCTGTGTGGGTCTCCTTCAGGTGCTCTGGTTTTCCCCCCCACAATCCAAAGATGTGTAGGCTAGATGGATTGGCCATGCTAAATTGCCTGCAGTGTTCAGGGATATGTAGATTAGGTGTGTTTTTGGGGGATGGGTCTGGGGGGGATGCTCTCAGGGTTGGTCTAGACTTGTTGGGCCAAAGGGCCTGTTTCCACACTGTAGGGATTTTATGATAATTACAAATCTTTTGATAGTCATAACTTGTAATATTGGCTCAAGGTTCAACAACATGTTGGACTTGTTTTCAAATCGCTTTGTGGCCCCATCCTCTCTCTCTCTGCCAGCTCCAAAACTCACCAAATGCATCCATTACTTCCTGCCACACCCCAACTCTCATGTGTCCAGTTGTTTCCACCTTAAAGTTTTGAAGTCCCTTCATAAGTCTCTCCTCATGTTAGACCCTCCTCAAAACCTTTCCCATTGACTAAATTTATTAGAAGCAAAATACTGCAGATGCTGGAAATCTGAAACAATCAGTGAAATTGCTGTAGAAATTCAGCAGGCCTGGTAGCATCTGTGGAGACAGAAACAGAGTTAACATTTTGAGTCTGGTATGATTCTTCTTCAGAAGAGTCCTGAAGTGTTCTGAGGAAGATTCATATCAGATTTGACCTGTTGAAATGGGGTGGCTCAGTGGTTAGCCCTGCTGCCTCTCAGCGCCAGAGACCAGGGTTCAATTCCACCCTCGGGTGACTATCTGTGTGGAATTTGTACATTCTCCCTGTGTCTGTGTGAGTTTCCTTCAGGTGCTCTGGTTTCCTCTCACAGTCCAAAGATGTGCATGCTAGGTGGATTGGCCGTGCTAAATTGCCCATAGTGCTCAGGGATATATAGAGCGATGGGTCTGGTTGGGTTGTTCTGAGGGGCAGTGTGGACTTGTTGGCCTGAAAGGCCTGTTTCCATACTGTAGGGATTCTTTGAAACCCTGTTTTTCTCTCCATAGATGCTGCAGGGCCTGCTGAGTTTCTCCAGCATTCTCTCTATTTGTTGCCTTTGGCTAATCTTCTGTTCACCTGGACTAATATCAACAACAATAATGACAGAGACAACAAGGTGCAGGGTTGGATGAACACAGCAGGCCAAGCAGCATCATAGGAGCAGAGAGGCTGACGTTTCGGGCATCCAGCCCTGCACCTTGTTGTCTCGGATTCTCCAGCATCTGCAGTTCCTACTATCTCTGAAACAATAATGACAGCTTGTATTTACATAGCACCTTTAATGTGGTACAAGTCGCAAGGTTCACTAGCGTCCTTTAAGGAAGGAAACTGCCATCCTTATCTGGTCTGGCCTACGCATGACTCCAGACCCACAGCAATGTGGTTGACTCATAACTGCCCTCTGAGCAATTAGGGATGGGCAATAAATGCTGGGCTAGCCAGCAAGACCCTCATCCCATGAATGAATAAAGAAAAATAAAAGCCACTTTTGAGACCATAATTAAACATGAACTTGACACTAAGCAACCACGGACAATACAAGACATGGCTTGATTAAAGAGGGTGTGTTTTAAGGAGTGACTTACAGGAGGAGGAGAGAGGTGGAGATGGATCTTTTTTTGTATTGTTGGGTTGGAGTAGTTTCAATAACTGTCAAAGACTGTGTGCTGAAATATACTCTATTGTAACATTTATATTAATACTTGTACCGTTCCTTGTTGTTTCCTTTTCAACTCTAGATCACGAGTGTTTGGCACTTCCTTCCATGACAGTTAACTCTTGATGGGATGTAGCCTATATTACTCCATTATACTATCAGATGTTAGATTGATGTTTTATCATTCCTCCTAGGAAATGCCTTGGGATGGTTTTACACAAAGGCTGGTATTTCGTTACTAAGTCACCTTTTATTTACATGTGCACAGTACATGACACTGACCCAGCTAGCTCAGAGTTGCTCCTTAGAGCGAGCAGGACTACTGACACTTTCGTTTATATCTGTCAGCCAGGGCTCCCTGTTTGGACCAGGTTATTCTATGAGGTTCCCCTTGCTGACCTTGTTCCTATCACTACAGTTTTAACCATGTGAAAGATGGTCTCTAAATCCAAGTTATTGTTCCTGAGGCACTGCTGGTCAGGTACTCACACTTTATCGGTGCCATAGTACTTGTAGCCAAGAATTGCTGAGATTCCCACGACAACGAAAGGGCTACCGTATCCGAAGATGTAGAAATTTCTGTGCAGAAACCCTTTGTTGTAAATCACTCCAACCACGATCAGATAAAGGTGAATGCCCTCGATGCACATCCAAGCAAAGGCCGCCAGGAAAAAGTAATGCAGCAGTCCAGCTACGATGGAACAGACAAGCTAGAGGGTGGAGAAGACACAAAACACCTGAGGGAAAGGTCATGGATACAAGCCCTGAGACTGCTCAGTCTGCTTAAAACCTACGAAAACAAATAACCTTTTAACTCACTAGTGTCATGTAAAAATACAATCTCGAACTCCCACTGCTTTGCTGAATGACACTCCAATGATGAATTATGCATATTATAATGCAAATTTGACTTGACCTCTATCAGCTGTAAATTCTACTTTCCTTCACATAATACACTCGGCAAACTGGGGGATGTTAATATTGGGAATTGACAATTTTTGCTCCATTTTGGATGGCTTGCGGTCAACTCCAAGCATTCTCAGATCAGGCACAGCACTTTTTGATGCAGAGTTATTTTTTTTCATTCTTTCATGGGATGAGGTTGCCATTGGCTAGGCAGCATTTATTGCCCATTCTTAGCTGGCCAGAGGGCAGTTAGGAGTCAACCACCTTGCTGTGGGTCTGGAGTCACATGTAGACCAGACCAGGTAAGGATGGTAGTTTCCTTCCCTAAAAGGACATTAGTGAACCAGATGGGATTCCCCTACAATGGACAATTCATGGTCATCATTAGCTTCTTAATTCCAGATATTGAATTAAAATTCCACCATCTGCTGTGGTGGGGTTTAACCTGGGTCCTCAGAACATTGAATCAGAGATAGTAGGAACTGCAGATGCTGGAGAATCTGAGACAACAAGGTGCAGGGCTGGATGAACACAGCAGGCCAAGCAGCATCATAGGAGCAGAGAGGCTGACGTTTCGGGCCTAGACCCTTCATCAGAAAAGGGGGAGGGGAAGGGGGTTCTGAAATAAATAGGGAGAGAGTGGGAGGCGGATAGAAGAGGGATAGAGGAGAGGATAGGTGGAGAGGAAACAAACCGGTCGAAGAGGCGGGGATGGAGCCGGTAAAGGTGAGTGTAGGTAGGGAGTTAGGAAGGGGATAGGTCAGTCCAGGGAGAACGGACAGGTCAAGTACCTCGGCTGTGCAAAGCAGCTGTATAAAGCTGCAGCGGTTTGAAACATTTGTTCGCCACCACCTTCTCAGGGTCAATGAAGGGTTGACCATAAATGCTGGCCCCATCAGTAATACCCATGAGCTGTACATGGATAAAATAAAGCACCACCATCTCCACTTCATGATGTCCTTCGGTAGAAGTATCCCCTGCTGGTCACTTGGGCCAAAATCCTGCCAACATCGAGAGTATACCTTCTTGTGACAGACTGCAACATTGCAGGGGCAGCTCAGCATCATTTACTTCAGGGTGAGAAGGGATGTGCAATAAATGCCAACCTTGCATTTTCAAATAAAAGGCAAATTAAAGAATTTTTAAAAAAACATGCTTCAGCAAAACTAGCCTTTTAAGAGCTGAGCCATCAAAAAAAAATCCCCTCAGAATGCCTCATCAAATTCGATGTGTGTTTGTCTCGATCTCAATTTATTGCTAAAATATGAGTTTGTTGCAAAAAGACAGCAGCTTGCACTTTGGGTAGCTCGACACATACTGTCTTATTATAAAGCACAAAGGACCTTGTTTTTAATGCATGGGTTTCTAATCGTATTCAAGACGTGGCATTACCTGATGCAAGGTATCATTAATCCTTCCAGAAAGACATTCATTATTTAAATGGCAGGGCGTCTCTGGAATCTCTGAAATTGCAGTGAAGAAATAAAATCATTAACTTCAAACATGGTGAGTCCAACACATAGATTGTATTATCGACTTAACTGTCCCCATCAATGTCATTGTCATTCAGTTTGCCTAATGCTGATCACTTGACATATAATTATCATGTAAGTAATAAATCAGCCATCGCTTAACAACCTTGACTACAATTTGATTACGAAATTCAAACTTTCAAAATGTGAATCTTGTAGTTGATGCATCTATCAGGGCAATGCACCCAGTAGCCCAGCAGTCAATCAGAAATTCATTCATTTGTCGGCAAACACGGTTTATATTGGATTAACAGCACGGAAATCACTGCAGGAGGAAAATGATTTCAGCTCATTCCCGGGTATCTGCTATGGCCACCTAGACCAGCATTCTGAGTTAGATTTGAGTACATAGTCCAGGCTGTTGTTCTAATGCAGCACTGAGGGAATGTTGTATGATTGACAGATACCACTCTGATGCTAAACTGAGGCCTCACCTATGATGGATTATTGAGGGGCTAGCACACAGTGCCAAGAATGCAGGTTCAAACCCAGCCTTGGGCAACTCTCTGTGTGGAGATTGCATGTTCTCCTTGTGTCTGCAAGGGTTTTCTCTGCGTGCTCGATGGTGGATTGGCCATGCTTAACTTACCCAAGGTATGCAGGGATAGGATAGAATAGGGGTGGTGGGTATGGATGGGATTCCCTTCAGAAAGTTGATGTGGGCTTGATGGACCAAATGGCCTGCTTCCACATTATAGAAATTCTAGGTTCTATTAGTCAGGGAATCAAAGTTATGGGGAAAGGGCAGGAAAGCAGACATGAGGAGTCTCAGATCAGCCATGATCCCATTGAATGGCACAGCAGTCATGAGGGGCTGAAGGGCCCACGCCTGTTCCTCTTTTTCTTCTGGTTTTATTCTGAGGTGGGCAGGAAAGATCCCAGGAGTATGGATGAAGAGCAAGGGGAGTTCATCCAGAGAAGATTTATGGTAATCCTTCTGAACATCACATTAATTCTGCCAGATCTCACTTTCCAGCTCTTGTTCTATCACCCAGCAGCAGGGCATCCTGATGGTGAGGGGGTACAGGTGGGGGCTGCATCAGCTCCCTGACATTCACTGATGTCTTGGAACTTGTGACCCCATAGTTTCAGATGATACTGAACACCACTTTTCAAAGCCCTGCCCATATATGGTGCAGCACTTCAAAGAAAGACCTTAAGCAGAATTACACCATTCAGCCTATTGAATCTGCTGCACCATTTAATCATAGATGATATGTTTCTTAACCTCATTCTCCTGCCTTCTCCCCATAACCCTTGATCCCCTTACTAATCAAGTAGCTATCTATCTCTGTCTTAAATACAGTAAATAACTTGGGCTCTGCAGCTTTCTACAGCAAAAGGTTCCACAGATTCACCACCCACTGGCTTAAGAAATTCCTCCTCATTTCAGAATTGCATTTGCATAGCACCCTTCAAGACAAGTAGACATGTCCAAGGGCTTTACAGCAAATGAAGAAGCCATTAATGCGTTGCAATGTAGGAAACACAGCCGTCTATTGGCACATTGCAACATCTTACACAGGCAGCAATGTGACAAAGACCAGCTCATTGACTTTAGTGGTGTTGAACTTATTTGCCTAAACAGCCAAAAACATGATGAACCTTCATTTTTAAAAGCATTTAAAAACATGTTCCTGAGGAGCTGATGGTACAGGAGTACTGACCTCCCTTTCCATTGATGTTCCAAGTCCCCACTTTGAGATTTACCTTCAGTGAGGCAATAGCTTCAACTAAGGTGATTATTTACACAGACAACTGGCCTGACTATGTGCCAGTGATGGCCCTGAATGGTACTAATAATGCCTGACGTCTAATCTCAGGCCAGCTTTCGATCTGCTGTTTAAGGCAAATGGTGGACACTTTAGTCCTGAACTTTGACTTGAACGAATTTCTGGTCCTGGGGTTCCATGTAACACCTTATCAAATCACAGAGGGTGTCATCAAAACCTCCACATTCGAGTTCCCCTCCAAGCCACATGTCATACCAACTTGAAAACATGTCGTTGTTCCTTCACTGCTACCGAGTCAAAATCCCTCCTTAACAGCACTGCGGCTGTCTCTACACCACAATGCATTGGTGCAATTCAAGAAGGCAGCTCACCACCACCTTCTCTCATGCAATTAGAGGATGGGCAATAAATTCTAGCATAGCCAGTGATGCCCACAATCCATGAATGCATAATATTTTAAAAATTTCTTACTAGTTCTGAAGAAGAGTCATACTGGACTCAAAATGTTCCCTCTGTTTCTCTCTCCCCAGTTACTGCCAGACCTGTGGAGTTTCTCCAGCTTTCTCTGTTTATCAATGCATTGTTTTTTGGGTGGCACAGTAGCACAGTGGTTAGCACTGCTGTCTCACAGCACCAGGGACCTAGGTTCGATTCTACCCAGGGGCGACAGTCTGTGTGGAGTTTACACATTTTCCATGTGTTTGCTCTACCTGTCACAGGCCAAAGATGTGTAGGTTAGATGGATTGGCCATAGAGTTCAGGGATGTATAGGCTAGGTGGGTTAGTTATGGGAAATGCAGGATTACAGGGGTAGGATGGGTCTGTGTGGGATGGTCTTTCAAATGTCATTGTGGATTCAATGGACGAAATGGCCTGCTTCCACATTGTAGGGATTCTATGACCCTACACTGTGTAGGGGAGAGGTATTGGCCCAGAATGGAGGGCAATCTCTCTGCCCTTTAAAAAATTATGCAGGTTCTTCCAAATCGACCCTCAGTATAATAACCTTAACACAAGGGCGAGATCTCTGACAAAGTAGCACACTGCCAGCACTGAAACAACAATTGGGATCATGTGGTTAACTCTTTGGATTGGTACTTAAATGCTCTCTTCCCCCACCTCCCTTCCTTCTGTTATATTTTTCCTCCCCTCTGCTCCTGCCTTCTCCTCCCCTCCCCTCCCCCTTTTCTCTCAATCCTCTTCCTTCTCCCTCCTTCCTGCTGGGTCTGAAATACAGCATTGAATGCAGTGAGCAACCACCCTCTATGATGATGCCGTGGAGAGTCAGTCAGTGTAAAGAAGGATCATGTGCAAGACAGAGATGCTCCATACAGTCTCTAGAGTTGGCGTTATGGAATAAACTTCACATCGCTTAGTCAAAAGACTCTTCCGATTAGAATAGGAAAATGAGCATCCTAATCTGCTTTGCCCACTTTGAGCATGAAGTGACCCATATATGACTCTCACCTTCTCTCCTTCTTATTTCTCCTCCTCTTGCACTCCCCTTTCCCCTTCACCCTTCCCCTCGCCCCGTCTTATACAGGTAACCCCCTTTCCACTTCTTTCCCTCTCTGCCCCTTCACCCCATCCCCACATCCCTTGTGTTCACTCTTGAAACAAGTGTGCCAAATTAGCTCCAAAAAGATTGATAACTAGTTCATCCAGATTCTAGATTAATTATTTTCGTCGTAAGATTTTTTTTCCATTCACTGTAATAACAGACCTTCACAGATGATGTGGGTAGAATTGGGCTTCGTTTTGAAAGTCGAAATCCCTGAAGGTATTTGAAATCCACTAAAACAGGAGCAATAAAATCTTCCAATTCTGTTCTGGCAGGGAGTATGGGCACCACAGCCCCTAGCAGAATCTCCACTACATTCATCAATGTCTATAAAATTCATACCGTGTACAGCAAACAGCATCCCTTTTTTTAAAATCACATATTTAACTCACTTTCTACCACGTTCCGAGCAGCGAAAATCAATTATTTACTGCGAATTTTCAAAATGGGCTTTTTTTTTCACAAGTTTCTACATCTATGCCAGGGTTAGAAGTTTCCACAGCCTCAGTCCTTCTTCAAGTGTTAGTGAGAGAGGTGGTATCAGACATAGAATTTATAAGTAAAAGATCAAAGGCTCACATCATTGATGAGGATGTACTAAACAAACCTAAGATGCTGTTAAATCTTTAATCAATTAGAAGGTTCTAATTGATTAATATGTATATGTAAATCCCCCAATTCCTTTCAAGTCACTGTCCTGCGAGAACTAAAGGTTTTATTAGCGTAAAGAAGAGGTGACATTTTAGGTCAGACAATGTATGTTAGGTGTGAGGCCTTGTTTATAATCTGTTTGTGTTTTATTTTGGAGTCAGACTGGTTTTATTTCTAAAGTACGAATTTATAGAACGCCAGATTGACTGACTGTATATAAACTGTGTGCTTTTTGAACAAAATAAAATGTATCTGCAAATACAAATTCACCCCATAGATTTGTGTGTGCGTGTTTGTGTGAGTGTGTGTGAGTGAGTGAGTGTGTGTATGTATGCTTGTCTGTGAATGTGTGTGTGAGAGTGTAATAGTGCGGTGGGGTCACCTGTGGTGCGACATGAACACAAGATCCTGGTTGAGGCCGTCCTCATGGGGACCGAACCTGGCTATCAGCCTCTGCTCAGCGACTCTGCGTTGCTGTGTATCCCAAAGTCCGCCTTGGAGTACGTCACACTATACACTCTCACACACGCATACATACACACATACTCACTCACACATACACTCCATCTCTCTCCCACACACACACACAACACACACTCTTTCACCCTCACATACACACACATACACACACACACACTCTATCTCTCCCCCTCACACACACACTCTGTCTCTCCCATACACACACACTCTCTCTCTCTCCCACACAACACACAAACACATACACAACACACACACTCTCTCTCCTCCCCCCACCACACTCTCTCTCCCTCACACACTAACACACACACTCATACACGAATCTATGGGGTGAATTTGTATTTGCAGATACATTTTATTTTGTTCAAAAAGCACACAATTTATAGATAGTCGGTCAATCTGGGGTTTTATAAATTCCTACTTTAGAAGTAAAACCAGTCTGACTCCAAACTAAAACACAAACAGAGTCTAAACAAGGCCTCACATCTAACATGCATTGTCTGACCTCA